CGGAGTATGTTGCTAAGAGACCCAAGGATATTGTGAATTTTAGCTAAGAAACTGGCTACTTTTCTTTGGGGTCTTTTTACCCTAACTGCCTAGAGAATTCCTACCTCCTAATCTTATCACACCATCCTCTGAAGAGGTTGCCCAAATTACCAATGGGGAACTGGGACACAGACCACTCTGGCTTCTTCCATGCTGAACAGGGTCGCAGGGTGAGGCAATTGGAGTACCCCTTCAGTGGGTATATCTAAAAAACCCCAAATTGTTGGGGCTGGAGAGATGGCTCAGTGGTTAGGAACACTGGTTGTTCTTGCAAAAGACCTGGGTTCGAGTCCCAGCACCCACATGGCAGTTAACGACTGTCTGTAACTCCAGTCCCAGGGGATCCAAAAGCCTCATCTGTCCTCTGCAGGCATTGCACAACACGGGTGCACTGACCTACATACAGGCAATACACGAATACACATAAAAAAATTGTTTAAAAAAACAAACAAATTGCATAATATCTTTAGGGGGGAAAAGAAAGTCCTTGAATCGTGAATAAGAGATGTGAAGGAGAGGTAAAGGCAAGAATAATTAGCATTACAAGTTCTAGACAGGGAACTAGAGAAAAGTCAGAACAGGGCAATTTTCCAATGTTCACATGAGAGTCCATTGGAGTATACTGGGAGTATACGTGGGCACTCTCCAGAAAACAGCAATAGGTTCTGCTGAACACAACCACCCTTGTTATGAACACAACTGCCCTTGCTATGGACTTCCCTCTCTGAGTGAGGACAACAGCACAGAACATCTTAGTAAAGCTGCCCTGACAAGCGCTAGGTCCCTTTCCTGACTGACTAATGGACTCAGCATCTCTGGGTATGGAGCTTGGGGTATGTCAACCTGGAGAGCAAGTGACCAGAGAGATTCAGCATTCGAATAACTTTTTTAAAGATATTTTATTTTTTATGTGTATGAGTGTATTGCCTGCATGTATGTGAGTGTACCCGTGTTATACAATGCCTCGGAGGTCAGTGGAGGGCTTTGGATTCCCCTGGAACTGGAGTTAAGGATGGTTCATAGCCGCCATGTGGGTGCTGGGAATCGAACCCGGCTCCTCTACAAGAGCAGTCAGTGCTCTTAACAGCTGAGCCATCTCTCCAGCCCCTGAATGACTTTTTATATGGACTTAAGCCTAATGTCTGGGAAGTGTAATCCCTTGAACTCTTAAAGAAGTATACTGATGACTTTACTCTTTGGTTATACTTTTCTTTGGGGTGTTTAAGACCATACGGTGGCCCAAATAAATCAATTTATTTTTACAGTTAAGGTCCTTTGAGGATCTGTTCCTCAGGCATCACATAGACTTGGGAGGTGCCCCTGGCTCCTTTTGTTTACCAGTTCCATCTATATGAAGATAAGTCAAAGGTCCTGCTCAACCATGTCTGGCTTTACTTGGAAGCATGGATGAGATGTTTCCTCTGAGTTGAACCTCCTCTTTGTAGATTGGACACTGGTTCAAGTCCATCTCATGGGATCTCCATGGGCCTCCCTGATCAAGAGGGCAGGTGACTCACCACAGTTACAGGACATTTTGAGAGATGTTCCATAGTCCCCTGGAACTTAGTCAACCTTGGAGGGCAAGGGGTAGAAACTGTCCTTTAAGTCCCTCTGACCACATTAGTATAGGCCTCAAAAGTATGGCTGTTAAATATCCAATAAGGTTAGTTCCACCAGTCTGGTATTTTTAATTATCATGTACTATGTAGATAAAGCTTGGGTTATCTCAGATAAACCTTGAGTAGATATATATTTTGTTTCTCCAACTTGTTGCCTAAAATATGACCTTAGGAATTTTAAGATTATGTGTATATTATTTTTCTTAGCCTTTATATACCATAACAAACCTAAACAGACCTTCATCACTTGCTTAGGCTTTTTGAATTTTTCTGTCTATTTTGGAAAATATCTCCATTCCCATATCCTTTTAACATCTTTTACATTCTCATTTTAAAAAAAATAATTATGAGACATAATAGCATTAACAAATTTTCCATTTGTTGTGAGACTTCTTTTCCTGGGGCTACTAAGCAATGCTTATTCCCTTTTAAGGTTTTAGGGCCAAGCCAATGTTTGATTCAAGTTTTACTGGTGAACCAATAAATTTACTGAGCTTACTTACTGAGATAACCAAGGGGTTGCTGAGGTATATGACCTGAGGTTATGCATACTGAAAAGCCTTTACCCAGCATGAGTCATGCCTTCTGTTCCTAGCTCTCCCCAGATTGTATACTTTAGCCCTCCCCAAATCTAGGAGACCGTGTGTGATTAGGGCCAAATTACATACAGTTGGCTAGGAAAAGTGGCTGGATACTCCGGTGAGGGTCCAATGACCTTGCTTGGTCCTCCTTTGAAGAATGAGTGCAACCATCAATGAGCCCAATTGTGACGATGTTTAGCGATCAGGCACAGCTGAAATCGTGATGATGGTAGTTATTTCATGCAGAAGAGACTGTTGTACAGCATCATCTTATTAAAAGACCATGGAATTTAAAAGGATTTGGTGCTAGGATTCACATATGAGGGAGAACATATGTCATTTGTTCTTCTGAGTCTGTGTTACTTAGTACAACAGCATCTAGATCCATCCATTTACCTGCAAATTTCATTATTTTATCTTTCTTTACTGCTGAATAGAATGTCTTTGTGTAAATATACCACATTTTTGTTAACCACTCGTCAGTTGAGGGGCACTTAGGTGGCTTCCATCTCTTAGCAGCAACAAACGTGGTTGTACAAGTGTCTCTGTAATAGGGTAAGTCCTTTGGGTATATACCAAGGAGTGGTATAACTGGGTCATACGGCAGGTTCATTTTCAGTTTTTTTTTTTTTTTTTTTTGGTCTTTTTGAGACAGGATCTTCCTGTACCCCCAGCTGCCCTGGATTCACTATGGAGACCAGGCTGCCCTCAAACTCACAGAAATCCACCTGCCTCTGCCTCCCCAGTGCTGGGATTAAAGGCGTGCACCACCACACCCAGCTCATTTTCCGTTTTTTAAGAGTTCTCCACACTTTTCCATAGGGGTTGCACGAGTTTGCATTCCTGCCAGCAGTGAATGAGTGTCCCCCTTTCTCCACATCCTGGACAGCATTTGGTATTATTTATTCTCTTGATCCTAACCAGTCTGATTGGGGTAAGGTGATACCTTTGGGTGGTTTTAATTTGCATTTCCTTAATATACTAACGATGTTGAACACTTTTTTGAGATGTTTCTTAGCCATCTTTATTTCTTCCTTTGAGAACTCTCTGTTTAGAGCCTTAGCCCATCTTTTAATTGGGTCATTTGGTTTCTTGATTCTTTGTTTTTTGAGTTCTTTATATATTCTGGATGTTAAACCTCTGTCAGATGTGTCACTGGTGAAGATCTTTTCCCATTCTGTGGGTTTTCTCTTCACTTTTTTGATTGTTTCTTTTGCTGTACAGAAGCTTTTTAGTTTAATGAGATCATACTTGCTGTTTTAGTTTAATGAAGCCCCACTTGTTGATAGATGACCTGAATTCCTGAGCAACTTCTGTCAGATTTAGAAAATCCTTTCCTACACCTACAGCTTTGTAAGTTACTGCCAATATTTTCTTCTAATAGTTTCAGGGTTTCCAGTTTCACACTGAGGTCTTCGATCCATTTGGAGTTGATTTTTGTGGAAGGTGAAAGATAAGGATCTAGTTTCATTCTTCTACAGGTGGAGATCCAGTTTTGCCAGCACCACTCGTTGAAGGTGTGTCTCCACCATTATTTTTCTTGGCACCTCTGTCAAATATCAGGTGACTGAAATTATGCATTCTCGCGTTTGGGTCTTCAATGATGTTCCATTGATGTATGTGTCTATTTTTGCAGTACACACCTTTAATCCCAGCAATTGGGAGGCAGAGGCAGGCAGATTTCTGTGAGATGGTGGCCAATCTGGTCTACATAGCAAGTGCAAGGCAGGCGAGGAAAGAAAGGGGGAAAAAGGAAAGAGGGAAACAAAAGGAAAAAGAAAAAGAAAGACCTGTAAGAAGAATATAGGAATAACCCCAGTTGAGAAAACAGGCAATGTTAAAATTTGAGGATGAGGGTTCGGCAGGTTGAGCAGTAGTTAACGCATTTGCAATGCAAGAATGAGGACGAGAGTTCAGATCTCCAGGATCCCACATAAATGCTGGGCGGACATTATAAATCCAGTATAGGAAGGCAGAGACAGTAGAACCTTAGAACAAGCTAGTTAGCAAGACTAGCTATATTCACAAGTGCTACGTTTGATGGAGAGACCTTACCTCAATAAGGTGGAATAGCAATAGAGGATGATTATCAAGATCAACCTCGGGCCTCCACGTGTACGGACACCCACATATTTGCAAAAACATGCATATATAGCCACACACACATATGAAAAATAAGAGGAAAAAATGGTGGGTGAAAATGAACCTGATTGGGGGGGGGGGAAGGCCGCAGGTGGAAGGTGGAAGAGTGCAGTGACTGGGGAGAACATGGAATTACAAGCTTTTAAGGCAAGACTCCCAGGGACAGGTCTCTGAGTGGAGTTACACCCAAAAGCAGCCTTGCAAGCCCTGGGCAAAATCTGGGCCAGGTCTGACGGTTCAACAAGGTCAACCGGAGTGTTGTAGTGAGGAAACCCGGAAGGGATGAAGATGGCTCAGACAATGGTAGGGGGGCCTGGAGGTGCTGAAAAGGGTCAGCCTATTCCTCCAGCTACAGAGATGGAGTTTCAAACCCTGGACTCAAGGAGCGCTCCCTGGAGCCAAGTAAATTCGTCATGAGTAGCGCCGGCTCTGCGGAGATAGCAATGTCTCCAGTCTATCGACTCCTTATCCATAAAACAGAAGTTAAAATACCAAAATACGCGCCCCCAATCATCAGCCAGCAGCATTCGAGTCGGCGTATCTGCGCAGGCGCAGAAAAGATGGTGGCCGCAAGGGAGGCAATGCGTGTGCGCAAGACTCGGGGGACAGAGAGCGCATGCGTAGGCCTTTATTTAGACACACGCCTGCGCTTAGCCATGGGCCACTCTGTTCAAGGAGTGGAAAGGGTTCGCCCCTGCCTGAGGGCGTGGTGAGAGCTTCACCATGCCGGGCATGGTGCTGTTTGGCCGGCGCTGGTCCCTGGCCAGCGACGACTTGGTGTTCCCCGGGGTTTTCGAGCTGTTCCTGCGTGTGGCGTGGTAAGTGAGGCCGCTGTGCATGCGAGGAGGGTGTGCTGTGGCAGGAGAGGGTGAGCGAAGTCGCCCACTTACCTAAGGCTGAGGCGACGCCTGGGTTCACGGTGCGCGAACCCGCGAGTCTAATGCCTGGTCTGCATCTAGAATGTGAGGTACAGCCACTGCCTCCATTTGACAGGTGACAGCCCGGGGGAGCTGGCACAAGTGTCCCGAACCTTAGGCGCCGCGGGGCAAGAGCAACGCCCTGGGTGCAGCGCTGAGCTTTGGCACTGGGAGCGGGAGGGTGTCACCGGCATCAGAAAGCCTTAGCCTCGAGCTTTCTCCTTAGAGTCCGACTCTTTCACTTTGTCCTACTCCCATCGCTTTGGGTAGCGAAGCACCTGCTTATGCAGAACGAAAAACTGGGAAATTGACATTTTTGAGCAATTCATGAGAAGTAGATGAGGCTAAAGCCCATAAGTTGGTTTTGTAATATGTGGAATCAGTGGGAAGCGATGTTGGTGCCTCAGGTCGGTTTCTGGCATGCCTGGCAGCGAATAGAATTGTGATGAAAAAGCGTTCTCTAGGGAGTGGGAAAACAAGTGCTATAGCAGATGCTTCCTAGGAAGTTTCTGCTTCTCAGGGCCAGGCTTTTCTGAGATCATTTGCCATAATTATTTCCCTCATGGAGCCCTGGAAAGGAAGTTTTCCAGGGGCTGACGATGTAGTTCATGTTGGTGGAGTGCTTGCCTGATGTGTGCTCCCCTAGATCACAGGAAGCCCTGGGTTCGAACCTCAGCACTATCTGAAACCTGGTGTGGTGGTGGTAATCCCAGCACTTGGGAGGTGGAGGTAGAAGGATCAGAAGTTTAAGATAAACCTTGGCTACATAACAAGTTTGAAATCAACCTGAGCTACATGAGACCCTGTTTTTTTAAAAAAAGTGTTCTAATTCAGTTCCACCTCTTTATTTTTTTCCCACTAATACCTGAACCTGGGGTCTCATTTGTGCTAGGCAAGTGCTCCACCGTGAGCTAAATCCTCAGCACCCCCAGTGGCACTTCTTAATGGTCTGGGTTTGAATCTTTACTTAATAGGGCATTCTTGGACAGCAGGATGGCTCAGTTGGTAAAGGTGTGCTGCCAAGCCTGATGACCGGAGTTCAATCTCTGGGGCCCACATAGTGGAAGGAGGGAATGGAGTCTTGCAGTAGTTCTCTGACCTCCACAGGTGGCCATGGTGCACCTCTATTTAAAAAAAATAGGATATTCTTGCTAAGTGGTCCTCTGTTCTCTGCTAAAGTATCCCTAGAGTGAATTACCACCCTTATTTTGTGATGGGCTGCCTGCATTGTTCACCACTGAATTGCAAGATGTAGTTAGAAGATCACAGGACTTCTTTTAAATTTATCAGTGTCAACTGTGAAACATATTTTGTAATTTGCTTCCTGCTCACTTGGTTTTATAGTGGGTTATAACATGTGTTTATGGATTGTTGTTAAACCACATATATAAAAATCATCTATTAATAATTCAGCAAGCATAAGTTTGTCGGTTACTACTTACATGTTTCTCGGTCATGATGGGTGCTCTCCAGCAGCACTCATTGTATTTCCTTGCTTGCTTATGGCTTTGTTTGTTTTGACACAGGGTTTCTCATATCCCCAGCTGACCTTGAACTAGCTATATAGTGGAAGATGGTCTTGAACTTCTGATCCTCCTCCCTCTACCTCCCCAGTGCTAAGATTACAGGCTTGCACCACCACAGGTAGTTTAGATATCACTGGGATTGAACCCAGGGATGCATGTATGCTAGGCAAACACTCTACTAACTGAGCTACATCCCCAGCCTGTTTGTTTTTGAGGTAGGGGATCCTTCTCTAGCTTATGTTGGCCTGGAGCTTATCTATAGCCCAGGCTCAGGCTGGCCTCTAATTTATGATCTTCCTGTCTCCTGTGTGCATCAGGCATGTGTACCATGCCAATGTCTTTAAACGGATGATTATAGCAGATACGAAGTAAGAACAGTGAGCCATGTGTGTGCCAACACTCCTGGCTCCTAGTAGACCTTTTGGTGATGAAAATCACATTCTACATTGAACCTTAACCTTCCTTTAGAAATTATTAACTCCTTTATTTCTTTATTTCCTGTTTTAACAGGGCAACTCCTTGGAATCCATTTCTGACCCTTCTTGTTTTTCCTGCAGGTGGGGTGGCAGTCTGACTTTATATCTCATGCATAGAAAGAAGCTGGACTGTCCCGGCGGAGTCTTGCTCAGCACTTATTTGATTGTGCTTCTTATTCTCCTGGCAGTAATCATAGGTGTTGTGTTGGCCATCACATGTATCAGCATGAAAGGTAAAGGGCAGCCTTTTCCGTGTGTCACCTAGTTTTTATTTTAACAGCCTTATTGAGCCACCATTTAATACCATACAACTTCCCCATTAGGAGTATACACGGTTCTTCATTATTGGTACACTTATTTGTGTGTGGGAGGTGTACAGGTGTACCTGTGTGGTACATCAAAAGACAACTTGTGAGAGTCAGTTCTGTTTCCACCATATGGGTCTCGGGGATCGAACTCATGTCCAGGCTTTACCCATGGAACTGATGGTCCCTACACAGTGGTTCTTATTACAGCCATAGTTGTACAACTATCACTAGAGTTGACATCAGAACATTTTGTGTGTGTGTGTGTGTGTGTGTGTGTGTGTGTGTGTGTGTGTATGTGTATCTATGCATCTGTGTGGGTGTCTGTACATGCGTAAGCCATAGGTTGACACCATCAGGTATCTTCCCCAATTATTCTCTCCCTTAGTTTTTGAGGCAGGGTCTCTCACTGAACCTGAAGCTCATCAGTTTGGCCGGGCTCACTAGCCAGTGAGCTCCAGCCCCAACAACCACTTGCAACTTCAGTTCCAGAGGATGTGATGTCCTCTTCTGGCCTCCACAAACACTGCACTCACATGCTTATACCCATATACAGACACATGCAAACATAGATATAAAATAAATTAAAATTTAAAACAAAATGTTTAGTTTAGGGTTGGGAATATAGTAGGTCAGTGGTAGAGGGCCTGCTGAGAATGTGTGAGGCACTATATTCAATTCCCAGTACCACCAAAAAAAAGTTACCTTAGTTGCCACTTAAGTTATACATAATTAGTATTATATTCTTTACTAGAAAGTATTAGCTAGGCATGATAGACGACACCTGTAATCCAAGCACTTGAGAGGCAGAAGCAGGAAGATTTGTTGCAAGTTTGAGGCCAGTACTACATAGAGAAACCCTGTTTCAAAAAACATAAGTAGGCAGGGGATGGTGGTACACACCTTTAATCCCAGCATTTAGGAGGCAGAGATGGGGAGATCTCTTTGAGATCAAGGCCAGCCTGGTCTGTATAGCAAGCACCAGGCTAGCCAGAGCTACACAGTGAGACCCTGTCTCAAATAAACAAACAAGCAAACATATAAATAAATAAGTAAATGTATTATGTAAGTTTTGGGGGAACAGTGAGATGGCCCAAGTATGTGAAGGTACTTGCTGCAAACCCTGATGACCAGAACTGAGTCTCTGTGACCCAGGTAGTAGAAAGAGAGAACTGATTCCCTGAAGTTGTCCTCTAACCTCCACACATGTGCTCTGGTATATGTGTGTGCCACTCCCTCATAAATAAATGTATTTTAAAAGTCTTTTTAAAAGGTATTTTATAGCCGGGCATGGTGGCACATGCCTGTAGTCCCAGCACATGGGAGGCAGAGGCAGGCGGATCTCTGTGAGTTCAAGGCCAGCCTGGTCTACATAGTGAGTTCCAGGCCAGCTGGGGCTACAGGGAGACCCTGTCTCAAAAAAACCAAAAAAAAAAAAAAAAAAAAAGTATTTTATTCCAGGAGATTCCAGGAGTGGTGCTCACCTTTAACCTCAGCACTTGGGTGGCAGAGATGGGCCAGCCAGGGTTACACAGCAAGAGCCTCTCTAAAAAAAAGAAAAGAAAAAAAAAAAAAGAGGAAAAAGAACTGAAGCACTCTTAGTAGAAAAATGAGCAAAGAACATGAACGGTAAAAATTTAAAAATACAATTTTCTGGGCTGGGCGTGGTGGCGCATACCTTTAATCCCAGCACTGGGGAGGCAGAGGCAGGCGGATCTCTGTGAGTTCAAGGCCAGCCTGGTCTACATAGTGAGTTCCAGGACAGCTGGGGCTACAGGGAGACCCTGTCTCAAAAAGACCAAAAAAAAAAAATTTTTTTTTTCTGTGTAAAATTTTCAGCTTCAATCCATACACCAAAAAAATTGACTAATAATATTATTGCTTTATGAGGCTGGGTTGAAAACGTGGCAACTTGGTTTGTTGACAGGGATATAAATTAGCTGGACCTTTTGGGAGACCAGTGTGGAAATATGTGTGTGTATGTATCTGCTTTTTCCTATTTGCATATATGCAAAAAATGCTTGAGGAGATCTTCCTTGTAGTGTGGTTTGTGGAAACAAAAGATTGGAAAAGCCAGACATGATAGCTCACATCTGTCATCCTAGCACACAGGAAACTGAGGCAGGAGGACTTTGATGAGTTCAAGGCCAGCCTGGGCCACTGAATGAGACCCTATCTCAAAAGAAAGAAAACCAGGGACAGGGGAGATGCCTCAGTGGCTAACACACTTGATATACAAGCATAAGGAACAGAGTTTGGATCCCCAGAAACTTTGGTTGGTGCTGGGAGGGTTTGGCAGCCACCTGTAATTCCAGTCCCAGAAGGCCGAGATAGGGGATCCCCAGAGCAGGCTGAATGCTGCATTTGATTGAGAGACCATGCTTCAGTGAATAAGGTGGAACATAATTAAGGATGATTCCAGACGTCCTTGGGCCTCCACATGCACACACATATGCAAAAGCACACAGGCAAGCTGGAGAGATTGCTCACTGGTGAAGAGCACTTGCTACACTTCCAGAGGACCTGAGTTCAGATCCCAGCACCCTCATCAGGCAGCAAACAACCTCTTGGAACTCCAGCTGCAGGAGATCCAGTGGTCTCTTCTGACCTCTGCAGGCATTGCATAACACATGGCAGATACACACAGATACACATAGAAAAAGTGAGTAAATCTTTTAATAGGTTAAAAGAAGACACACATGCACACCACACACATGCACATGCACACATACACTGAAAAAAGGAAGAAAAAAAGAAAAGCAAAAGACTGGAAGGACTTCAATCTCTGTCCATAAGTCCCCATTAGAGAAACTACTTCCTATCACTCTACTGTGCATGTGCATGTGGAGGGCAGACGTTAACACTGGGTGTTTGCATCTCAAGAGCTCACCTTTTATTATTTATTTTTATTTGTATGACTTTTGCCTGCATATATATATATGTGTGTGTGTGTGTGTGTGTGTGTGTGTGTGTGTGTGTGTGTACCACATGTGTGCAATGCCTGTGGAGGCCAGAAGAGGGCATTGAATCTTCTGAAACTGGAGTTGTAGACAGTTGTTAGCTGCCATGTGGGTGCTAGGAGCCAAACTGGGTCCTCTGCAAGAGCAGCCAGTGCTTTTAACTGCTGCACCATCCCTCCAGCTGCACAAGAGCTCACCTAGAGTGCTGTAGTGGCTAAGGTGGTGTCACTTTGATGCTGTGACATAGACCATTTCTTTGTTGCTCTTGCACAAATGGCCATGCTCCACTGGGTAAAAGATCTTGGGTTATTCCTGGAAGTGTGTATTGAGGATATCCCAGAACAGCTGTGTCCCTGTAGGTTAGGGTCATCAAATTAAGATGCCTGCTACAGAAACTTGGTTTGTACCAGCTTGTTGATCCTGAGAGGAAAGTAAATATTGAAATAAAATGTTTTTCTAAGACCTGCACAAGATGGGCCCATCAACATTCCATCTTACATCAGGGAGGGGCTCATGGCACCCCCACCTCTTCCTGAGGGGCTGTTGGCGGTTAATGGCTGCTGGGGGTGGGGTCATTTTTCTTCAGTGATATAGCCACTGGCAAATTGCCATGTTTCCAGTGAATAATGCCCCACCCAAATTAACCTCAGTGGATCAGGAAAGCAGAACAAAACAGGACATGAAAGTAGGAGGGGACTTCTCAGGAAGAAGAAAGGGGCCAGAGGGGGAGGGAGGAGGGCTAGAGGGGGAGGGAGGAGGGCCAGAGGGAATGGGAGGAGGGCCAGAGGGGGAGGGAAGAGGGCCAGAGGCAGAGGGAGTGATGGGGTGAAAATGGCTGAGATATCTCACATACATGTGTGAAACTGTTAAAGAATAAAAGCACAGGACTGGAGAGATGGCTCAGCAGTAAGAACACTGGCAGAAGACCCCGGTTTGAACCCCAGCACCCACATGGCAGCTAACAACTGTCCATAACTCCAGTTTGAGGGGATCTGACAGGCTCTTCTGTCCTCCATGGGTATTGCACGACATGGGTGCACTTACCTACATAGCAGGTAATACACACATACACATAAAAATAATCATAAAATATTTTTTTAAAAAAAGAATAAAAGCATGGTTTTTAAAAAATTATTTCTGACCGGGTGTGGTGGCGCATGCCTATAGTCCCAACGCTTGGGAGGCAGAGGCAGGTGGATCTCAGTGAGTTCAAAGCCAGCCTGGTCTACATAGTGAGTTCCAGGACAGCTCTGGCTACAGGGAGACCCTGTCTCAAAAAGACCAAAACAAATTATATATTTATGATGATGATGATGTTGATGTTTTTGAGGCAGGGTCTCACCATGGAGCCCTGCCTGACCTGAAACTCATTATGTAGACCAGGCTGGCCTCGAACTCACAGAGATCCACCTGCCTTTACCTCCCAAGTGCTGGGATTAAAGGCATATGCCACCACACCTGACTGTCATTTATTTTCTGGTACCTTAATTAATGCCCATTTCTTTGCTTCCTGGTTGATGTACATGTCTCTTAAATGCTATATTGGAAGCCTTGTGCTCTCAGAGTCCTGAGCATAGATGCTGCTGACACTGTTGATGTCCTTATTTAAAAACCTACCAGTGTGTGTACAAATCCTGTTTCCTGTTTTTCTAGTGGGCTCAGCTCCTGCACAGTAACAGGCTTCCTGTGCTCCTCAGAGAGAAAAGTAAGAGAGAGAGAGTACTGTTAAAATCAACTACCCATTGGCTGCCAAGATGGCTCAGCAGGTTAAGGGCCTTTGCTGCCAAGCCAGACTACCTGAGTTCGATCCCTGGAGCCCACATAGTGGAAGGAGAGAACTGACTCCCACAAGTTGTATTCTGACCTCCACCTGGTATCATGGCACATACTTACATAGAGACACAATAAATATAAATAATTAAAAATATGGGGCTGGAGAGATGGCTCAGCAGTTAAGAATGCTCACTATTCCAGAGGACCTGGGTTCAGTTCCCAGCACATGGAGGCTAACAACCATCCATAGCTCCAGTTCCAGGGGTTTGATCCCTTCTTTTGACCTCCTTGAGCATTGCATGACACAAGTACGCTTGCATACATGCAGGCAATACACTCATACACACAAAATAAAAATAATAAATAAAATAAATAAATCACCTTATGAAATTTGCCTTTATATGAAGCCAGATAATCTTTTTGGTCTTTTTGAGACAGGGTCTCCCCATAGCCCCAGCTGTCCTGGAACTCACTATGTAGACCAGGCTGTCCTTGAACTCACAGAGATCCACCTACCTCTGCCTCCCGAGTGCTGGGATTAAAGGTGTGCGCCACCACACCCAGCCTTTTTTTTTTTTTTTGGTTTGTTTTTTGGTTTTAAATATTTATTTTTATTTTATGTGTATGAATATATTGCCTGCATGTATGTAAGTGCACCCATGTCATGCAATGCCTGCAGAGGTCAGAAGAGGGCACCTGATCCCCTGGAACTGGAGTTACAGAGAGTTGTTAGCTGCCGTGTGGGTGCTGGGAATCAAACCCAGGTCCTCTGTAAGAGCCGTCAGTGCTCTTAACCATTGAGCCATCTCTCTAGCCCCCTAATTTTTTTTTTTTTGAGATAGTCTCACTGGTCTGGAACTCACTAGGTAGCCCAAGCTGACCTCAAACTCACTGCATTCTTCTTGCTTTAACTTCCCCAGTACTGAGATTACAGATAGGAGCCACTAAGCCCAGCTAATGTTTGGAATTTAAAGGCAAGCCAGTGAGACGGCTCAGTGGGTAAAGGCACTTGCCACTAAGCCTGATGACCTTGTGTTTGATTCCCTTAGAACTCACATGGTAGAAGGAGAAAGTCGCCTCCCAAAAGTTCTCTGACTTCCACACAGGTGCCATGGTTTGTGCAAAATACAATAAAATTAAAATTAAATTAAAAAATGTAATTAGAATTTGAAGCCGTGTGTGTGTGTGCGTGCGTGTGTGTGTTTCCAGACACGTAGGTGGGCTAGCCTTGAATTCATACATAGTATAGGGTGACCTTGCACTCCTGATCCCCTGCTTCTACCTCCAAGTGTTAGGCTTTCAGGCATATACCAACATATCTAGTTTAAAGACTGTTTCTTTTCAGCACTATTTTAACTTATGGTTCCTGAAATTCACTGTATGGCCCAGGCTGGCCTCAAACTTGAGGCAGTCCTCCTGTCTCAGCCTACTATTTTACTAGGATTATAGACATGAGCTATCACATCTGGCTCTAGATCTTAGACTATTTTGTGTGTGGGGGGGACAAGGTCTCCCTATAGCCCCAGCTGGCCTCACTATGTAGACCAGGCCTGCCTCTATTTCACAGAGATCTATGTGCCTCTGCCTCTCGAGCCTGGGACTAAAGATCATCAGGTGTGGTGATCTTAGACTAAAAAAAAAATATTTTATTTATTTTTATTTTATGTGTATGAGTGTTTTGCCTGCATGTAAGTACACTCATGACGTGCAGGGTCCATGGAGCCCAGAAGAGGAAGTCAGATCCCTGGAACTGGAGTTAAGACAGTTGTTAGCTGCCATGTGGGTCCTGGGAACTGAATCCAGGTCCTCTGCAAGAGCAGCTCTTAATCACTGAGTCATCTCTCCAGCTCCAATCTTAGACTTAAATTATTTATAGTTGAGCATGGCAGCACACACCTTTAGTCTCAACACTTGGGAGGCAGAGATAGGCAGATCTTTGTGAGTTCAAGGCCAGCCTGGTCTACATAACAATTTCCAGGTCAGCTGGGGCTACAGGGAGACTGTGTCTCAAAAAGGCAAAGAAAAGAGAGGGAGGGAGGGAGGGAGGGAGGGGGAGAGAGAGAGAGAGAGAGAGGGAGAGAGAGAGAGAGAGAGAGAGAAGAGAGAGAAGAGAGAGAAAGAAACTGTTAAGAGGCTTAGGAGGTAGCTCAGTGGGTAAGAGTACTTGCTGTGAAAGCAAGAGGATCTGAGTTCATATCCTTAGCACACATGTAAAAACCAGATGTGGCAATGTGTGCCTAAAATCCTGGTACTGGAGGAGTGGAGACTAGAGGATTCCTGGAGCTCATTATCCAACCAGCCTAGCTGAATTAATGAGCTCCAGGTTCAGTGAGGAGACTCTGTCTCAGAAAATAAGGTAGAGGAGCTAGAGAGATGGCTTAGCAGTTAAGGCACATTTTGCTCTTGCAGAGGTCCTGAATTTGGTTCCCAGCACCCACATCTGGCAGCTCACAACCACATATAACTTCAGCCCCAGGAGATGTAGCATCTCTGGGCTCTTCATGCACATACCCCCATGCAGACATAGACACTATACATAATTAAAAATAAAATAAATCCTAAAAAGTAATAAGGTGTAAGCCAGGCATGGCATCGCACGCCTTTAATCCCTGCACTCTAGAGATAAAGGCAGGAGGATCTCTGTGAGTTCAAGGCCAGCCTGGTCTATAGAGTGAGTTCTAGGCCAGCTGGAGCTACAGGGAGAACTTGTCTCAAAAAAAAGAAAAGAAAAAGAAAGTAATAAGGTGGAGATAAATAGAGGAAGACACCTGGCATCCTTCTTTGCCTCTGCATGCGCCCTTCTCTCTCATCTAATAAGTGCTGTAAGCTTTAGTTTCCTCTTTTGTAAATTGAGATAGTGACTCACAGTTTGTGAGGCTTAAAGAATGATACATATTGGGGCTGGAGAGATGGCTCAGCTGTTAAGAGCAGTGGCTGCTCTTGCAGAGGACCTGTGTTCAGTTCCCAGCACTCACATGGCAGGTAACAACTATCAGTAACTCCAGTTCCAGGGAATCCGACACCCTCTTCTGACCTCTCTGGCCATTACAGGACATGGGTATACCTACCTACATGAAGCAATGCACTCATATACATACAATTTAAAAAATATGAAAAAAGGAATGATGGGTATTAAACTGTTTGGAATGGTGCTAAGGACAACATAGGGGTCCAATAGATGGGGAGCTTATTTCCTGACTATTAGGCTTTGGATGACTGTATTTCCCTATTTTCCTGGGGCAGTGCTCTTACCTGACTTTTGCTCCAGTGTAATTATCAACAGTGCTCCCTTTGGTTCTCAGAAGTATTAAAATGTGAGCAGTGCTTATATAGTCCCTACTAGGTAGAACCCCAAAATGGGTTCATTTGTTTTTTGGGGTTTTTTTTTTTTTTTTTTTTTTTTTTTTTTTAAAAGTCTGTAGCCCCAGCTGGCCTGGAACTCTCTGTGTAGACCAGGTTGCCCTTGCACTTACAGAGATCTGCCTGCCTCTGCCTTCCAAGTACTAGAACTAAAGGTGTGCAGTGCACCACCATGCCCAACTGAGAAATGGGTTTTGTTTTTTGGTTTTTGTTTTTCAGAAATGGTTTTAATCCTGAGTGAGTCTAAGAAATGAATCTGACTTCTGTCCCACTTCCCATCCTTCCTTAGTCATTTACTCTCAACCCCGGTACTTATCACCAGGGTTAAGTAGGCATTCAAGATTTACTTTTTACTTATTTATTATTTATTTATTTATTTATTTATTTATTTATTTATTTAGATTTGAACCTGGGTCTTCTGCAAGAACAGTCAGAGCTCTTAACCACTGAGCCATCTCTCCAGCCCCTTTTGGGTTTTTTTGTTGTTGTTGTCGTTTATTTATATTTTTGGTGTTTTTGAGACAGGGCCCTTGTAGCCACAGCTGGCCTGGATTCACTATGGAGACTAGGCTGGCCTCAAACTCGCAGAGATCCACCTGCCTTACTTTATTTTTAAATATGTGTATGTGTATGTGTGTGTGTATCTGTGTGAGGGTATGTGTATGAAGGTGCAGGTGCCCTAGGAAGCCAAAGGCATTGGATGCCCTGGAGTTGTAATTATAGATGGTTGTGAGCTGCCCAGTGGGTGCTGGGAACTGAATGTGGGTCTTCTGCAGGAGCAACAGCTGCTCTTAACCACTGAGCCATCCCTCTAACCCCTGTAGCTGTATTCTGTGTGTGTGTGTGCGTGTGTGTGCGTGTGTGTTCATGTGGGTGGTGTCTGTTCGTGTGGGTGGTGTGTGTTCATGTGTGTATATGCTCATGTGGATGTGTGTACAGGTGCACATGTGTACATGGCATGTGGACTCCAGAGACCAACATAAGGTGTCTGCTTTGATCACTCTCCACCTTATTTTTTATTATCTATTTATTTTTATTTTATGAATATGAGTGTTTGCTAGCATGTATGTTACTGCATCACGTGTGCAATGCCCATGGAGGTCAGAATCCCCTAGAACTAGAGTTATGGCCTGTTGTTAGCTTCCATACAGGTGCTGGGAACTGAACCTGGGTCCTTTGCAAGAGCAGCTAGTGCTCTTAACCACTGAGCCACCTTTCCAGCACCTCTACCTTATCTTTTGAAACAGGATCTCCTGTTGCCCCAGCTGTCCTGGAACTCACTATGTAGACCAGGCTGGCCTCAATCTCAGAGATCTACCTGTCTCTGCTGGGATTAAAGCCGAGCACCACCACATCTGGCCTGCCTTTATCTTTAGAGACAGGGTCTCTTACTAACCCTAGAGCTTTTCAATTAGGCCAGGCTGGTTGACTGTCCAGGAATCTCCACCCCCACCAGCTGTGGGGTTATACACCCAGCTGGGGATCTGAACTCAGGTTCTCCTGCATTTGTGACGGCACTTTATTGACTGAGTCATCTTTCCAGCTCCCTCGTATCTGTAATATATGGACAGGTAGCTCTTCATCTTCAAGGAGATCCCTGGACAGTCACTTCTTTTCTGTGTTTCAGGCACCATTTGTAACCCTGGACCTCGGAAGTCTATGTCCCAGCTGCTTTATGTCCGCCTGGCCCTCTTCCTGCCAGAGATGATCTGGGCTTCTCTGGGGGCCGCCTGGGTGGCAAGAGGCATCCAGTGTGACAGGACAGTTGTGATTGGCATCATCACCACCGTCATTGTCAGGTGAGGTCTTCTTCCTTATCACACAGGCATTTCTGAGCAGCATGACACTCCAATGTCATGTGGCCTTTCTAACAGAGTTGAATCTCTCTGTCATTAATGGAAACTTAAGAGACATTTTTGAACAACAATTCATCTTCCACTTTGCATTTGTGAGTGTTCTCTTTCTTCCTGGTCCTCACTCTTCTGCAAGTTCCCTCTCTTAAAAAGGAAGAGGGGCTAAAGAGATAACTCAGAGGTTAAGTGTGCTTGCAGAGCAAATATGAGGACTGGAGTTCAGATCCTAGCACACATAATGAGCTGGGCCTTCCATGCATGCCTTTAACCCCAGTTCCAAGGGAGCAAAGACAAGAAGATCACTGAGGCTTAGTGGCTTCCAGCCTAGCTGAGAAAATGCCAGTCCCAGGTTCAGAGAGAGAGACCCTGCCTTAAAGGAATAGATAGTGAGTGATACAGGACACCCGACACCCTTGTGTCACGTACACATATACTCACAGACAGACACAGAAACAAACGCACACACCCATATGAATGTGTAAACACACAGACACACACAAATAATTAAATTTATGAGTAAAACACCTGTCAGACTGTCCCATAGCATATAAAATCTTTTTGTTTTATCATAAAGAACCCCATGGCACTAAAGAATAAGCAGCCAGGTCGTGGTCACAGGGCCATGGGGAATTAGTTCCGGTAGCTTCTATGTCCAGGCTGCAACTGGACTAGCTACGGGTTTGTAAGGAATATTCTTTTTAAATATTTATTTACATGTATGTATGTGTCCATGTCATGGCACATGTGTGAAGGTCAAAGGACAACTTTCAAGAACCAGTTCCCTCTTTCCACCATTTGGGTCCCAGGGATTGAACCTAGGTTGTCAGGCTTGGCAGCAAGTGCTTTATCCATCTCACTGGCCCTCATAAGGAAATTTCTAGAGGAAATGAGTTGCTTGTCTTAGTCAGGTTCTGAGAGATTTACATCTCCCTTGATAGTACAAGAGACCTAGAAACAGGGGTTCTGTGTGTGTGTCTGGAGTGGGACTCATAGTGACCAAGCCCTTCCCACTCTGTCTTTTGCAGTTGGATCGTCATTGGGGCCACCGTGTTCTCCATCATCTTTGTCTTTGACCCGCTGGGGGGGAAAATGACTCCATACCCCTCTGCCTGTCCCGATCACCTGGATAGCAATGATTCAAACCAGTTAATTAATGGCCTGAAGACCGCAGCCAAGAGTGTGTGGGAAACCAGAATCAAGTTCTTTTGCTGTTGCGTGGGAAACGACGATAACACTCGAGTTGCTTTTTCGAGTATGGCAGAGCTTTTCTCAACATACTTTTCTGTAAGCTGAGGGGATCTGGTGTGGTCTCTTTGTCTTGTTTCCATAAATGCTTCTGTGGTACAATGACCACTCTGCACAAAACTCTGTGAGCCACAGAAAGTGGCTCTCAAGGACCTGGACCTTTTAGGCATAGGGTTGGGGAAGACACTGCCTGAATGAGCTTGACAGGCAGCAGTTAACTGCAAAGACTGAGGCTTTTCAGCCTCTTTTTTGTTTGCTTGCTTGTTCTGTTTTGTTTTTTGAAACAGGGTCTCATGTAGCCTAGGCTGACCTCAAGCTTGCTATATAGCCAAGGATGACCTTGAACTTCTGATCCTTCTGCCTCTAACTCCTGAGTGCTGGGATTACAACACCATGCCCAGTTTATTCAGTGCTGGGGATGGAACCCAACACTTGGTGCATCTAAGCAAGCACCCTACTAACCACCCTGCATCCTTGGCCCCTCTTCTGCTGGCTAGGTGCATCTTCTCATTGACTCTTGTCCATTACACTGTCAAGTCTCTGAATTGTTTGTTTGAGTTTTGTTTTTGTTTGTTTCAATTTGTTTTTTTTTTCAGAGTGTTACTACATTGCCCTGGCTGACTTGGAACCTGACCAGGCTGGCCTCCAATTTACAGGGATCTGAATACCTCTGCCTCCTGAGATTAAAGACATGCTCTACCATGCCCAGTCCCTGTGAACTGTTTTTTAAGGAACTGAAATAACCAGTACACTGGGGAAATAATTTGCCAGTTGTCTTTTCATATATCCTCTGTCCATCTCAGTCAGGAGATAGCCATGTGTGCACAGGGCTATGTCCAGGGTAATGTCAGAAAGGGATTTCTTAGGCCAGTAAGATGGCTCAGTGGGTAAAGGCATTTACTGCCAAACCAAACATCCTGAATTTGATCCCCGGGACCTACATGGTGGAAGGAGAGAACTCCTGCAAGTTGTTCTGTGACCTACACACACACACACACACACACACACACACACACACACACACCACATACACACACACACACTCACACACACACATACACCCACACATACACACACACACAATGTAAAAAATGATTTTTTGCCTTTTTTTTTTTTTGAGAAAGGGTCAGCTCAGCTGTCCTAGAACTCACTATGTAGACCAGGCTGGCCTTGAACTCACAGAGATCTGCTTGCCTCTGCCTTCCAAGTGCTGGGATTAAAAATGTACACCACCACACCCAGCAAAAAATAATTTTTAATAAGTGATTTCTTGCCACTTTAAATGAAGACAAGTGATAGATTATCCAGCTTCTAAAAGAAAGCTTGAATTACTACAATGTAAAGGATGTTGTTCTAGAATGATTGCTTCAGTGACTTGGAAGTGTTCATTTTCTTTCACCTTCAGTGTATGTGTCTGTTCATGTGATGTTTATGATAAATGATGGTTATTTTCGTACTGAAACCAAGTAAAGGAGAAGAGTCCTCACACATCCTACACACCTTCCTGTCTCTTTCTCACTTCTCTGCAGTGTCTGGTCTCATGTTGTGGCAGCAGGCCACACAGCAGTGGACTCCACATGGGGATTAGACAAGTGGGTCCCCTTAAGTATTTTATTTTTTTAAGATTTATTTTTTAAAATTAGGTGTACTTGTGTGTATCTGTGTGTGGAAATATGCATGTGAGTGCAAGTTCCTGTGGAGGCCAGAAGAAGGCATTGGATCTCCCTGGAGCTGGACTTACAAGTAGTGGTGAGCCACCAGATGTGGGAGCTGGGATCCAAACTCAGGTCCTTTGCAAGAGCATTATATGCCTTAATCCCTGAGCTATCTCTCCAGCACCCCCCTCACACACACCTTAAATCTTACAGAAGTGCCTCAACCTAGTCTCAAGAAACCCAGAAGAAGAGACGGTGACTATTTGCTAATTTTTTTTCCAGAGACAGACTCTCATATAGCCCAGACTAACCTTGAACTCACTATGTAACCAAGAATGACCTTGAACTCCTAATCCTTCTGTCTCCACCTCCTGAACACTGGGATTACAGGTGTGTGTCCCCATGCCCAGTGTTATGCAGTATTGGGAATGGAACCCAGGTCTCCATGCATTACAGTTTCTCTTGGTTCATCACAGGCAGATTTAATGGTTCAGAGGCCCAGTGAACTGAACAGGGGCCTTTCCTGTGGGCTCGAGGTACTTGCTGGTGGTGGAGGATTTCTTTTAGTTTCTTTTTATTTTATTTTTTTTTATTTTTGGTCTTTTTGAGATAGGGTCTCCCTGTAGCCCCAGCTCTCCTGGAACTTACTGTGTAGACCAGGCTGGCCTTGAACTCTTAGAGATCTGCCTGCCCCTGCCTCCCTAGTGCTGGGATTAAAGGTGTGTGCTACCATGCCTGGCCTTAGTTTCTTTTTAAATTAAAAAGATTTTTTTTTTAATGTGTGTGAGTATATTGCCTGTATGTATGTAAGTGCACCCATGTCGTGCAATCCCCTCGGAGGTCAGAAGAGGGCATTGGATTCCCCTGGAACTAGAGTTACGGATAGTTGTTAGCCACCCTGTGCATGCTGGGAATTGAACTTGGGTCCACTGCAAGAGAAGACAGTGCTCTTAACTGCTTAGCCATCTCTCCAGCCTCATCTTTCTAAATTTTTAAAAAATTCTTTTTTTAAAGACTTACTTTTTAATTTTATGTGTATGATATGTGTGCAGTGCCCACAGAGACTAGAAGAGGGCATCAGATCCCTTGGAGCTGGAGTTATACATAGTTGTTAGCTGCCATATGGGTGCTGGGAATCAAACCTAGGTTTTCTGCAAAAGCAGCTGGTGTTCTTAACCACTACCATCTCTCCAGCCCCTAAATTTTTTTATTACATTTATTTATTTATTTATCTAGTATGTGTGTTTGTGGGCACATGCATGACACCCAGTGTGGAAGCTTGGAACCCAATGTGTGGAGGAGTCAGTTCTCTCCCTCCACCATGTGGGTTCTAGGAATCTAATTCAGGTTGGCAGGCTTGGCAGCAAGTACCTCTACCTTTCTGAGCCCTCTCCAGCCCTGTTTTATTTTTGTTTTGAGACATGGTCTCACTATATAGTCCAGACTGGCCTTGAACTTGCAGTCTTTCTGCCTCAGCATCCTGGGTGCTGTGATTCTGGGCATGTGGCACCAGACCCGGCTGGTAGAGGATTTCTGACTTCTTCAAGGTCAGTGTTGGAACTTCACCAGCACTTTGCTAGTTTCCAGAGTCTTACAGGGCACTTGGTGATCATATCTTCAGCCTCCGAAGTCCACTGAGTGTGCCTTCACCAGCTTAAGAAATGAGAATACAGAGGCTGGGGAGACTACTCAGTGAAATGCTTGCCACAGAAGTGTGAGGACCCAAGTTTGATCATAGAACCCACATAAGAAGCAGAGGTGATGGTGTGCACTTGTAATCCCAGTACAGGGGGTGGGGGAGGCAGGTGGCTCCCTGGGGCTGCTAACCAGCCACCCTCACCTCATCAGTGAGCCTCAGGTCTCAGGAGTGCCGGTTTCAAAACAGAAGGTGTAGAACTCCTGGAAAGGACCCGTCTGGCCTCTATATGCATGTGCACACACATATATACACACCTACAAAAGAAACAAGAATATAAACTTGGGTATTACTAAAACTATGGTAGACTTTGCCATTTATTCCCCTCCTTTACAAGACTTGAACTACATTAGAAATCGCTAAGTCAGCAGGAAAAAGCACTTGCCATACAAGCCAGATGATCTGAATTTGATCCCTGGAACCTACATTTTAAAAAAGCCAAATACAGTGGTGTGTATCTATAATAGCACTCCTGTAGCAGGATGGGAAGCAGAGAAGAATCTTCTGGAAGCTAGCCTAGAGTGTGCAGCACAACAGTAGAAATGAGAGATTCTGCTTCAGAACAAGGAAGGAGAGAACTGACTCCTGAAAGTTGTCCTGTGACCTCCACACATGTACTATAGCATACACACACACACACAATAATTTTTTCATTTATTATTATTTTTATTAAAATGGAAAATTTTTTAGAATTTTTAAAGTCACTTGAAATGAAATTTTGGTATAGAAATCAATCTAGTCTGAGAACAAGATATGAAAAAGAAAAACTCATATCTAGAAGGAGCCGCCCCCCGGCCAGGAGAATACTGTTTAAAACATTTCTTTAAAGTGGTGGAGAGTTGGCTCAGCAGTTAAGAGCACGTGCTAGTCTTCCAGAGGACCAAAGTTTGGTTCCCAGCACCCACATAGAGTGAGCTCACAACTGCCTGTAACTCCAGCTCCAGGGTATCCAATGCCCTCTTCTGACCTCTGCATCCACACGTAAGTAGAATAAACTTACACAGATATACGAATAAAAATCTTTAAAAATACTTAAGTGGGGCTGGAGAGATGGCTCAGTGGTTAAGAACACTGGTTATTCTTGCAGAAGACCCAGGTTCGAATCCCAGAACCCATGGGGCAGCTAACAGCTGTCGGTAACTCCAGTCCTGGGGCTCCAACAGCCTCTTCTGGCCTCCTCGGGCATTGCACAACACGGGTGCACTTATCTACATGCAGGCATACACGCATACAAATAAAATAAAAATTTTTTTTTAAAGTTTAAAAATACTTAAGCTAGGTATGGTGGCACACACCTGCACTTGGAAGGTAGAGACAGGAGGATCTGGAATTCCACATCATCCTCAGCTACATGGCAAGCTCAGGGACTTGTTCAAAAGAACAAACATAACATACCTTTTCTATTTCAGTGTATCTGTGTGCCTGCATGTTTGTCTGTGAACTACAGGAAACTGAATGTAAAGCAGTTCCAGGGTAGTATCTGACGGGCTTTACAACGGGCCATTGTCCTTTCCCACCCAGGACACAGACCTGGTGCCCAGTGACATTGCAGCTGGCCTCGCCCTTCTCCATCAGCAACAGGACAGTATCAGCAACATCCAGGAGCCTCCGGAGGTTGTCGTCCACTCTCCAGGGCAACCTCAGGTAATCCTGAATGTGCACTGCACACTTCTGGCCTTCACACCTCTGTGTAGCTCTTCAGTCATACAGCTAAAGCTGGGTGTGGAAATCCCAACACTCAGGAGGCTGGAGTGGGGGGGGGGGGTCTTGACTTGGCGGCTAGCCTGGGGTATATAGTGAGTTCTAAGCCAGCCTTGGCTACAGAGCTGTCTAAGAAAAGGAGCGGGAGGGAAGAGAGAAGAAGAGAAAGAAAGACAGAGAAGAAAGAAAAATAGAAGTATCCAAGAGCAATTCCATCGCCTTTGTATTAAAATCCTTCTTAACTGAACTTTATCTCCTAGATTCTAGGCACTGGAAGCCCATTTCTGGATTATTTTCAAGCTTGAATCGTGGGAAATTCACTGTTGGGTTCTTTGTTCCAGAAAAATTCCCTCTGAGGACCCAAGCACTACCCCCCACCCAATCCCACCCCTACCCCCCTCACCTGCCCCCAAGGCATGTTTTCTTCTCTGGGTCTGGGAACCAGAAGGAGTTCAGGCTTTGCTGATGATCATTTTCCTGCAATAGGTTTAATGCTTTCCAAAGAGAAAGTCATGCCAGGCTTAGTGGTACATACCTGCAGTCCCAGCACTGGGGAGGCAGAGGCAGGAGGATTATCAATTCCAGGCTAGCCTGGGCTACATAGTGGAAGAGGAAAAAATTCCTCCTCCTCGCCCTCATTTGCACTGCTGGGGATGAAGCCCAGAGTCTTGTGCATGCTGGGCAGGCATACTACCACTGAACCATGTCCCCAGCCTCTCAGAAAGAAAGAATGAATGAATAAGAGACCTTCTCTCAAAAACAAAAAAATCAAAAACAAAACAAAAAGAACAGACAACACAGAGAGAACCACCCATAGATTGCCTTTGCAGCCAGACAATGACAGTACCTGCCTGCAAGGGTGAAAAGCAAAGGCCTCAGGCAGAAAGCTCTGACTTGTCTGAACTGAGCTGCAAGACTCACCAGGGACTCCTGGCATCCCTCCTCCCTGCATTTCTGGCAGAGTCCATTCCCAGCTGTTTAAGAACCAGTTTTTCAGAGGCAGGTGGACCTCTGAATTCAAGGCCAGCCAGGGTAAATAGTAAGACCCTGTTTCAAAAAAAAAAAAAAAAAAAAAAAAAAAAAAACAATTTTTCCCCTACAAGAGTTCAGGGCCCAGGGGGCGGGGAGTGAGGGCTGGAGAGATGATTAGTGGTTAAAACACTTGCCACAGAAGTATGAGGATCAGAGTTCAGATGCCCAGAACCCATGTAAATGCTGGGTGCGGTGCATGTAGTCTGGGGCAAACTGGCCAAATCAGTGAGCTCTGGGTTGGATTTAAAGACCCTGCCTCAATGAAAAGGTAGAAGAGCGACTAAGGATGATATCAAATTTGGGCTTACACACATAATGCCCACATGCTTGTGAACATGTTCACATACATGCACTACAAACATACATGAGGGAACAAAAAGTCTTCTGAGAATCAATAAGAAAAAGGACAGGAAGACTCAGGAGTTGGAGTTCAGGTTGAAGATCTTAGAGTGGTACTCGGAGATGACTCAGTGGGTAAAAATATTTACCCCACAAGTGTGAGGCCCTGAATTCAGATCCCCAGAGCCCACATAAAGCCAGAGGTGTTAGCATGTTTGTAATCCCAGTGTCCCTATGGGAAGATGAGAGATGGAGACAGGAAGAGTCCCTAGAGGCCGGAGGACCAGCTATATTCAGTGAACAGCAGATCTGTCTCCAACAAGGTGGAAGTCAGGGTGTCCTCCAACCTCCACGTGCATGCTGTGGTACATGTACACCCACACTCACCTGCACACACGTAATTTGTGTTCATCCTTTCCATACTGAGCTCACACAGAAAGCTTTTTTTACTATCTCTTTCTCTTTCTCCCAGGAAACTGACTTGGATGTGGAACTGGAAAACTGTCATCACTACATGCCATTTGCAGCAGCTGCCTATGGGTGGCCCCTCTACATCTACAGAAACCCGTTCACAGGGCTGTGCAGGATAGGGGGTGACTGGTAGGTCCACAGGGAGCCTTCTGTGTCTATACTTCTCTCCAAAACAAAACAAAAAGAAACTTTTATTTTGAAACATTTCGAAAGCATGCAAGAATAGAATTCCTATGTTCTTTATTTAGTCACTAGCAGTGACTCATTGAGTCACAAGTCCTGTGTCCTCTAGAGTCTATGCTTTATCACTAACTTTTTTACCAAAGATTTTTTTTTTTAAGACTTTATTTTTGGTCAAGTTTTTTTTTTTTTTTTTAAAGACAAGGTCTCCCTGTGCCCTCAGCTGGCTTGGAACGCACTATGTAGATCAGACTGGCTATATAGTTCACAGAAATCTGCCTACCTCTGCCTTCTGTGTGCTGGGATTAAAGACATGCACCACCATGCCTGGCAATTTACTTTTTTAAATTTTATTTTTTTGGGTCTTTTTGAAATAAGGTCTCCCTGTAGCCTCAGCTGGCCTGGAACTCACTATGTAGACCAGGCTGGCCTCGAACTCACAGAGATCCACCTGCCTCTGCCTCCCAAGTTCTGGGACTAAAGGCAAGTGCACCACACCTGGCTCGTTTACGTTATTTTTTAATTATGTGTATGTTTGTGTATCTGTGTGTGAGAGTGTACATGTAAGTCCTCTGCAAAAAGCGGTATGTGCTCTTAAGCACTGAGCCATTTCTCTGACCCTCTAAAGCTACTTTTAATTACACTTTTAAGTTTATCTTTAATCTTGGGTGGGTATGCATGTGCAGCATTACTGTTCTTTATTTTTATTTATTTAAAAAAAATTTTTTTTGAGACAGGGTCTCCCTGTAGTCACAGTTGGCTTAGAACTCTCTACATAGACCAGGCTGGCCTCAAATTCACAGAGATCTGCCTGCCTCTGTCTCCCGAATGCTGGGCTTAGAGGTGTGTACCACTTTGCACAGCCGTTACTGTTCATTTTGTAGTTAGTATTTGGTGTTCACATGCCGCAGGCTGTTCCCTGTGCCGTTTTAATTCCTCTGTCACATTCTGAGTACTTCTTGCATTGTTTCTTTGGTTTTTGTTTGGATCGGTGTTTTGGTGGTTTTGAGACAGGGTCTCATATAGCCAAGAATGATCCCCCTGCCTCCACATCCTAAGTGCAGGGATGACAGGCCTGTGAGACTACATCTGATCTCTTCCTGCATTTTTTATGGAAGATTATTATTATTACTGTTTGTGTGTGTGTGTGCACACTCTTGCCACGACACACATGTGGTCAGAGAACAGCTTTCATGAGTCAGTTCTCTCCTGTCACCTTGGGTTCTAGGGATTGAACTCATATCAGGCTTGTATGACAAGTACTTTTATTTGTTGAGTCCTCCTGCAAGCTCTGATGGAAGGTTCCTAATGGGAAGTGTCATAGTCTCATCCTGTGTTTGCCCTGGAGTGATTTCTGTGGAGCTCTTAGCCTTTCAAGATAAGAGAGTGGTAATTAGAAGGCAAGATCAAAGTGCCAGGCTTGTGGATCCCTCTTGGGTGCTGCTGCCTCCTGGAATTTCCAGTGGACAGAAGTAGACATCTCATTATTTATTTAAAAATTATGAGTTTAGGGGCTCAGTGGTAGAGCATTTGCCTAGTATACGTGAGGACCTTAGTTGATCACCAGCACAATACACCATAAACACACCAAAAAAACCATTATATCTATATATCTATAGCTATATCTGTCTATGTATCTTTAAGTTCCAGTCCCAAGCTACAGAAATTTTTTTAGATTCCTTTTTATCTTTTAAAATTATGTGTATGTGTGTATATCTGTGTGGGGGTAAGTACACATGAGTGCAGGTGCCTCTGAAGGTCAGAAGGCAGCAGATCCCCTGGAGCTGGAGTTCCAGGCAGTTTGAGCCACCTGACATGAGTGCTGATTCCACTGCAAGAGAAGAATGCACTCTTTTTGAGACAGGGTCTCCCTATAGCCCCAGCTGACCTGGAACTCACTATGTAGACCAGGCTAGCCTCAAACTCTCAAGAGTCGAGATCCATCTGCCTCTTTAATTGCATTTTTATTTTGTGTGTGTGTATGTGTGTGTGCACGTGTGCATGTGCACACATGCATAGAGGTCAAAGGACAACTTGTGAGAGTTAGTTCCCTCCTTCTACCACATACGTCTTTGGAAATCAAACTCAATTTTTCAGGCTTGGTGGCAGGTACCTTTACCCACTGAGCCATCTCTACAGCCCCACTCACATTTTCCATACCTTTTGCCTTTTTCTGTGTCATTTTTCTTTTTCTTTCCTTCTTTCTTTTTTTCTTTTCTGAGACAGGGTACTACTACATCACCCAGCTGGCCTAGAACCGACCAGGCTGGCCTTGAACTCACAGAGATCTGCCTGCTTCTATCTCCCAAGTGCTGGTATTAAAGGCATGTGCCACCATGCCCAGCATTTTTTAATTAAAATTTTATTTATTTTTATTTATTTATTTATTTATATTTTATGTGCGTGAGTGTTTTGCCTGCATGTATGCAAGTGCACCATGTGTGTGCAATGCCCTCAAAGGTCAGAAGAAGGCATCAGATTCCCCTGGACCTGGAGTCACAGACAGTTGTTAGCTGCCATGTGGGTGCTGGGAACCAAACCCAGGTTCTCTGCAAAAGCAGCCAGTTCTCTTAACCACTGAGCCATCTCTCCATCCCCCCAAATGATTATCTTTTAAAAGCTATTCCAGTTGAGTATGCTGGTACATGCCTGTAATCTCAGCACTTGGGAGGCTGAAGCAGGAGTGTTGCAGGTTTGAGGCCAGTCTGGGCTATACACCAAGACATACTTTTTCAAACATCCAGGGCAGGGGCGCTGAGGAGATGGTTCCATGAGTAAGAACACTTGCTGCCTAAGCATGAGGACCTGAAGTTGAATCCCTAGCACCCAAGTAAAAAAGCCTGTCATGGCCATGTGCATGCCTTTAACCCCAGCACTGAGAGAGTGGGAGGAGACAGGAGGATCACTGATGTTGCTGGCTGCCAGCCTAGCTCTAGTTCAGAGAGACACTGTCTCAAAGGAATAAAGCTGGGAGTGAGAGCAGGGCACCCAATGTCCTCCTCTGACCTCCATGCACACAGGTGTGTAAACCTGTGTGTGTACATGCATACACACACACACACACACACACACACACACACACACAATGAATATAGGAATAAAAATCAAGGGCTGGGGATATATCTCAATGGAAAAGTGCTTGCTTAGCATGTGCAAGACACTGGTTTCCATCCCCGGCTACTCAAGACAAGTTATTCTTTGTTAGAATATCCTGGAAGTGGCCAGCCCTAGCCCTCCCATCTGCTGGATCAACATGTCATTGAGGGTCACTGTTTGCTGGTAAGGGGCTCTGGCTACTTCAGTCACCTCTTTGCCATCCTTTAAGTTGCAGAAACAGAACGACAGACTATGACTCAATAGAAGGCGATCAGCACAACTGCCACTTTGCCTCCATCCTGAAGACCACAGGGCTACAGTACAGGGACTTCATTCATATAAGCTTTCATGACAAGGTATGTTCTCAGACAGGTGCTTCCCAGGCTTGGCTTGAAGTCCTTTGAGATTCTAATGGGAGGGTGTGTGTGTGTGTGTGTGTGTGTGTGTGTGTGTGTGTGTGTGTGTATGTATGTGTATGTATGTGTGTTGCTAGGGATTTAATCTAGGGCTTTGCACATGCTAGACAAGCACTCTACCAGAGTTACACCCCTCAACCCTTTTTAAAAAAGATTTTTATTTTTGTTTATGTATGTGTGTATATGCTCATGTGTGGGGGTGGGGTGGGGTATGGAAGCCAGAAGGGGGAGTCAGATCTCCTGGAGCTGAAGTTACAAGTGGTTGTGACTTGTCCCACATGGGTGCTGGTAACCAAACTAGGGACCTCTGCAGAAATGACCTAAGCTCTTCACCACTGAGCCATTTCTGTAGCCTTGAACTCACAGAGACCCACCTGCTTTCCCTCCCAAGTACTGGGATTAAAGGCATGCACCACCATTTGGCAGTCTCAGCAGCTTAAGTAGCTGAGATTACAAGCCTGCATCTTGAGGCCAACCTGAATTATTCTTCAGACAAGTCACACATATCCACCCTTACTGGCTGCCAGCTTCAGTGGTCTGTGCCCAGCATTGCTCAGTAACTCAGTAGCTCTCCAGCGTCTTTACACCAAAACTGAAGAGCTGCTGGTAGAGTACAACAGTTTGCAGATTACTGTCTATAGACTCTCCTTGGGGAGGGAGGATGACACTCACATTTAAAGCTCTTGAGGTTGGGCTGGTAAGATGGCTCAGTGGGTAAAGGCACTTGCTTCCAAGCCTGCTGGCCTGAGTTCAATCCTCAGGACCAACATGGTGGAAGGAGAGAATTGACTCCTCCAAGTTTTTCTCTGACCTCCTCACACTCTCGGTGGCACCCACGCCACCCTCTAATAGGTAGGTAGGTAGGTAGGTAGATAGATAGATAGATAGATAGATAGATAGATAGATAGATAGATAGATAGATGTAATTAGGAAAAAATAACAAATTTCTGAAATTGCCAAGTGTGGTAGTGTGTGCCTATTAATCTCAGCACTAGGGTTGCTGAGGCAGGAGGATGGAGAGAGGCTGCTTGGTGAGCTCCCTCCTTGCCTGGTCACAGGAACCCAGGTTTCTTTGTAGTGCCCCACTGTTGTGTGCTTATGGATACTGGGATGGTCTGACTGAATTGTCAACTATGTGTTTCCATGAGTCAGGCCTTGTGCTGATCTCTTGCCTTTCAGGTATATGAGCTGCCCTTCTTAGTGGCCCTGGATCACAGAAAAGAGGCTATCGTGGTTGCCGTGAGAGGGACTATGTCTCTGCAGGTAATCCTGACACTCCTGGCAGACTGAGACCTGGGAACCAGGTGGAAACAGAAAGTGCAGGTTATGGAGCCACATCTGGAGCAGAAAGTGACATAGAAAGCTATTGTGAGGCAACAGAGGAAAGCACCCAGGCCAGATCTAGGAAGCCAGCATGGATTGTGAAATTTGCCTTAGCAAAACTGGGGGGTGGGAAGGGAAGTGGCAGGGCTACAGTTCCCTCTTAACTGCCAGCTGTTGGCCTCAGAGGTCTTATGAGGGAGGGATATCTGCTTGGCTCACCTCCTGCTGACTCTTTGGATGTGCCCAGCTGAGCTGCCCAACCCCAGGTAGCCTCCCCCTACAGTTTCCTGCACCCAGAGCCAGGTGGAACAGTAAGTTCTATCTGTGTCAGGAAACACTGAGCCAGGAATGGTGGTGCACACCTGTAATCCCACTACTTGGGAGGCTGAGGCAGGAGGATTGCAAGTTTGAAGCCAGCCTGGGCCATATAATAAGATGCTGTCTAAAAAGGGGGTGGGGGTGAAGAGATGGCTCAGTGATTAAGAGCACTGGCTGGCTGCTCTTGCAGAGGACCCAAGTTGCATTCCCAGCACCCACATGGCAACTCATAACCACCTGTAACTCCAGTTCTAGGGGATCCGTTGCCTCTTTCTCGCCTCCATGGGCATTGCACACACACAACACACATGCACACAGACAAAACACTCATGCACATAAAAATAAGTGGTTGAAGAGATGGCTCAGTGAGTAAAGTGCTTTTTGTACAAGGGTAAGCATCTGAGTTCTATCCCTAGAACTCACATAAAAGCCAGGCATAGTAGCACATGTTTGTGATCCCAGTTCTCCTGCAGCAAGATGGGAGATGGAGATAGGAAAATCCCTGGAATCTCATGGGCCAGCCAGCCTGGCATATACATCATGAAAAAGAGACCCTGTCTCAATCAAGGTGGAAGGTGTGGACCAACATCTGATGATGTCCTCTGACCCCCACAGTTGGGCCATGCACACAGGCACCTGCACTCACATATACTCACATGCACATATCAAACGCACAAGGATAATTCAGTCACATAACTAAGTTCCTTTTTTGGGTTCACGCCAAGCCCTCCCTCTGTTCAGTTCCACCATGGCTGGGTTTTCTCTGGATGCAGTGATCCCACTGTCTACCTCATCCCCTCCTGTGTCAACATCCCTGACCACTCCTGGTTCAGCTCTTCCCTCTTTCTGGTGTCAACCACCCTCCACTCTCGCTTCCTAGTTTTGCTTTGCTGACCCACAGGATGTGATGAGGCTCAAGCCAGGATCCTCCACTCTCTGCTGCTTCCACTTCTTACTGGTTATGGGGACAACACCCATTCCAGGACCCCATACCTGCATTCTCAAGGGCCTGGTATCCCCACTCATCCCATGCCTGCTCTTCAATGACCCTCATTCCATCAGCATCCCCAGATGCCCTTGAGGAGACAGGGCCACTGCTGAGCATGGCAGCATATGGCTATAATCTGAAATACTCAGGAGGCTGAAGCAGAAAACTCTTAAGCTTGAGCAACAGACTCTGTATCAAAATAAAATATAAAAGAAGATGGCTAGGGATATAGTGCAGTAGACAAGTACCTACCTAAAATCCCCCATGAGGGGCTGGGGGTGTGGCTCAGTGGTAGAGCACCTGCCTAGAAGCCCCCAGTGAGGAGTTGGAGGTGTGGCCCAGTGGTAGAGCACTTGTCTATCATATGCAAGGCCCTGAGTTCAAGCCCTAGTACCATTCATCCCTCATTCCCATCAGTCACCTTAGACATCACAGTCCCAGGCTCTCTGGTGATCTTTGCTCCATGTTATAGCCCTTGTTCTGTCCAGTCCTTTCCTGCACCCAGGCAAAGGTTTCCTGTTGTCTCAGTTCCCATCTAGACTCTCATCCTAGTCCATCCTATATTTTTTTGTTTTTAGATAGGCCCTTACTATGTAGCCCAGGTTGACCTTGAGCTCTCAGCCTTCCTCCTGCCTCCCAAGTGCTGGAATTACAAGCATGTACCACAACAGCCCACTTGGTCCTTGTCCCTGCCAGGTCCTCATTCTGCTTCTAGCATCACCTGTGTTTTTCTGCTGAGGCCAGGTCTCACAGATCCTCAGCAGTCTGACTAGGAGACTGCACTACCTGCCATCCCTCAGAGTGTCCTGGGAGCAAGAGGCCCTCAACCCCAGTCCATGACTTTCGCTCACCCTGCACCTTAGGCTGACACTGCTCTATCTTTACTTTTGCAGGATGTCCTGACCGATCTGTCTGCAGAGAGTGAGAGCCTCGAGCTGGACATTGAGCTACAGGACTGTGTAGCCCACAAGGTACAGTTTCCTACTGATGCAAATGAGTGACAAGCAGCGGCCATGCACCAGGGTCACATTCTGTTGATTCTCACCCTAGTCCTGAGAGGTGGAATGCATGGGTGTTTGTTTTGAGAACTTGACTGAAGCCATGGAGAGTGGAGTATCAGACTGATCACTGGAGGCAGGCTGTAGTGTTTTTTATGCTTTATTTTAAAAAATATTTTATTATTCTTATGTGTATGAGCGTTTTACCTGCATGTATGTAAATGTATCACATGTGTGCAGTGCCCCTTGAGGCCAGAAGAGGGCATCAGAGAGGCCCTGGAACTGGAGTTCAGAAGGTTAGCTGCCATGTGGGTACTGGGAATTGAACCTTGGTCCTCAAGAAAAACAGCCAGTGCTCTTAACTGCTGAGTCATCTCTCTAGCTCCTAATATTTTACTTTTAATCATTTGTATATGTATGTTTGTATATGTGCTGGGCATGGTGGCACATGCTTTTAGTCCCAGCACTCTGGAGGCAGAGGCAAGCAGATCTCTGTGAGTTCCAGGCCAGCCTGGTCTACATAGTAAGTTCCAGGCCAGCTGGGGCTACAGGGAGACCCTGTCTCAGAAAGATTAAAAAAAAAAAACAAAAAGAAAACTTTATTATTTTAAGTTTATGTGTATGAGTGTATTGCCTGCATATATATAAGTGCATCCATGTTATAAAGTGCCTGTGAAGGTCAGAAGGAGGCACTGGATCCCCTAGAACTGGAGTTATAAGTTGCCTCAACAAGAGCAGTCAGTGCTCTTAACCACTGAGCTATCTCTCCAGCCCTTTATCTTTTTGCTTTTTTTTTGAGACAGAATCTCTTGTAGCCCAGGCTGATAGGCTGGCCTCCAACTCACTTTAATTTAAAAAAAAAATATTTTATTGTTGGGCGTGGTGGTTGTACGCCTGTAGTCCCAGCACTTGGGAGGCAGAGGCAGGCAGATCTCTGTAAGTTCAAGGCCAGCCTGGTCTACACAGTGAGTTCCAGGACAGCTGGGGCTACAGGGAGACCCTGCTTCAAAAAAAATTTTTTTATTACTTTTATTTTATGTGTATATTGTCTGCACGTTGTATGTGTGTATGGCCTACATGTGTATGTAAGTGCATCCAAGTCATGCAGTGCCTGAGGTCAGAAGAGGGCATCAGATCCCCTGGAATTGGAGTTACAGATGTTTGTTAGCTGTCATGTGGGTGCTGGGATTCAAACTGCAAGAGCAATCAGTACTTTTAACTGCTGAGCCATCTCTCCAGTCCCTCCAACTCATTTTATAGCTAAGGATAATCTTGAATTTTCTGATCCTCCTTCCCCTACCTCCAAAGTGCTGGTGTTAAAGGTGTGCTCCACCACAGCCAGCTCCAGCGTCCCTCTTAAAGTACATTGTCTTAGGAAAAAAAAGCTTTTAGTTCAGAGTTAGCCTCGTGAGCAGACAGCCTGGACACTGTTCACATCCCTCAAGTTTGCTATGGATGTGGCCGGAGCCAAGTTCTGGTTTCAGTCTTCCTGTGCTGTGGGCATGGGGCAGAGTTCCCTACCAGAGGAGGAAAAACCCCCTCAGAACATGGTGTGAGGTGTAACTTTTTTTTAAGTTTTGTTATTTATGTGTATGTGTGTGTGCCTGTGTCGGTTTTATGTGTACCACATGCATACAGGTGCCCTCAGAGGCTGGAGGGTGTCGGATCCCCTGGAATTGGAAATCTAGTTAGTCTGTTGCCTGCTGTGAGTGCTAGGACCCAAATCCAGGTCCTCTGGAAGAGCAGTAAGTGCTCTTCAGTACTGAGCCATCTCTCCATCCCTGTGAAATGGTTTTTAAATGTTGGCAAAATACGCATAGTAATACCAGCACTGCGGAAGCTAAGGTAGGAGGACCAAAGAGTTTGAGATCAGTTTGGCTACATTGCAAGGTGCAGGCCATTGTGAGATATATAGTGATTCCCTCTCAAAAACAAAAACAAAAAAAGATGATGGATAGATGGGGGGATGAAGCTAGGTGAATCCCTGAAAGATGATTGGTCAGCTAGCCTGGCCTATGCAGAGACAAACAACAAGAAACTTTGTTGCAAATAAGGTAGAAGGTGAGTGCCAACACCCAAAGTTGACCTCTGACCTCCATATGTGCTATGGCAAGTGTGTTCCCTACTCACATACATGACACACTCAAAAATAAATAAAAAAAGGAGGGCGCTTTCCTCATTTCATAATCATGCCCATTAATAGTGTGTGTGTTTTGGGGTTTTTTTCTGTCTTTTTGAGACAGGGTCTCCCTGTAGCCCCAGCTGGCCTAGAACTTGCTATGTAGACCAGGCTGGCCTTGAACTCACAGAGATCCACCCGCCTCTGCCTCCAGAGTGCTAAGACTAAAGGCGTGCACCACCATACCAGGCTAATTGTATGGTATTTTAAGCAATGGTGTTATCAACTGTTTATGACCATCAAAAATTACAACAGTGGGGCTGGGAATATCGCTCAGTTAATAGAGTGCTTAACATGCATGAAGCTGTGAAACTGAAGGCTCTATCCTCAACATGAGATAAATGGGTGTGGTAGTGCACACCTGTAATCCTAGCACTAGGGAGATGGAGGCAGGAGGATCAGGAGTTCAAGATCATCCTCAGCTACATAGTGAGTTTGAGGCTAGCTTGGGCTACATGAACCCGTATCTTTAAAAAAAAAAAAAAGTGAACTTTAGAGATGGCTCAGTGGTTAAGAGCACTTGTTGCTTTTCTAGAGGACCAAGGTTTAGTTCCAGCACCCACATGGCAGCTAACAATTGCCTGCAGGCACATGGTGCACACACATATACTCAGGCACAGTCACATGCACATACATAAATCCTTTTCCATTCTATCTTTTATAACTCCTGTTTCAATCGTGCCATACTTTCCTTTGTGTGTGTGTGTGTGTGTGTGTGTGTGTGTGTGTGTGTGTGTATATGTGTGTGTGTGTGTGTGTGTGTGTGTGTGTGTATATGTGTGTGTGTGTGTGTGTGTGTGTGTGTGTGTATGTGTTTGTTTTTTGAGACAGGGTCTCCCTGTAGCCTCAGCTGGCCTGGAACTCACTATGTAGACCAGGCTGCTCTTGCAGAAGACCCAGGTTTGAGTCCCAGTACCCACATGGCAGCTAACAACTGTCTGTAACTCTAGTTCCAGGGGATCTGACACCCCCTCTGTCTGTTCTTCATGAGCATTGCACAACATGGGTACACTAACATACATGCAGGCATAACACTCATACACAGAAAATAAAACAAAAAACCTGGGGATGTAATTCATTGGCAGATTGCTTGCCTAGTGTAATTAAAGGCTCTGGGTTGAATCTTCAGTCCTTAATTCATTCAGTCATTTATAAACAGCTCTATGGACTGGGCTGAAGTTAACTGTGATATCCACAACCTGGAGTGTGGCCTCAGAAACTACAGATGTTTGCTGCCATGATGGGTGCTCCACTCAGATCAGTAACAGAGTACCTAGCCTGTGGATCCATATAGGCCAAGGACACATCAGTGCCCAGTAAGGCTGGAGAACGTGCCTTCTGAGCCACACTGACTTCACACCCCATCTTTCTTCAGGGAATTGCTCAGGCTGCCAGATACATTTATCGCAGACTGACCAACGATGGGATACTGAGCCAAGCCTTCAGTGTCGCTCCGGTGAGATTATCTTCTGCTTTCTGTGCCTGTCCTGCTCCATCTCTTCTGAGCTTTAACTCCCTCTGCTGTTTGTACCCTAGGAGTACCGGCTAGTCCTGGTGGGGCACAGCCTGGGGGCCGGAGTTTCAGCCCTGTTAGCCATCATGCTCCGAAGGGCCTACCCCCAAGTCCATGCCTATGCCTTCTCTCCACCCAGGGGACTGTTAAGGTAAGGCTTCACCCTCCTGCAGGGTCAAGTCATGCAGCCACTCCCCTTTTATTTACATAATCTGTCATTTTGAAACACAACAGGCCTGGAATGTGGCTGATGGTTCCCCTAGCATGCCAGAAGCCTTGGGTTCTATCTGCAGGACCACATAAATCTGGAATGATGGAACCTGCCTGTAATCTCATCACTAGAGAAGTAGAGGCAGGAGGATTATAAATTCAAGGTCCTCTTGGGCTACACAGAAAGCTAGTCCAGTCTAATCTACGTGAGACATTGTACCCCCAAAAAAGTAAATACGAAAGTCGAAGGACTGACTGTATGTAAGTTGAATGTGGGAATACATGTCTGTAATCCAAACATACAGGAAGACTATATGTAAATTGAATGTGGGAATACATGTCTGTGATCCAAACATTCAGGAGGTTGAGGCAGCCTGGATGACATAACAAGACCCTGTCTAAATAAAACAAAACAAGGTTGGTGAGACAATTCAGTGGCTAAGATTTCATAGTGCTCTTGCAGGGGACCCAAGTTTGGCACCTACCACCCACATCTGGTGGCTCACAACCTGTAATTCCAGCTTCAGGGAGGATTCAATGCCTCTGTTCAGGTATCAGCACTCACAGGCACATACCCACACAATACACATAATGTAAAAATAAAAAATAAATCTAAAAAAACCTACTTTATGTAGCCCTTCTTAAGTTATCTGACTATAGCTTAATTTTCTTTCTTCTTTTCAGCTAGATTTTGTTTTTTGTTGTTTGTATTTTTATTTTTTGGTCTTTTTTGAGACAGGGTCTCCCTTTAGCCCCAGCTGGCCTGGAACTCACAATCTAGACCATGCTGGCCTTGAACTCATAGAGATCCACCCATTTCTGCCTCCCAGTGCTGAATGCTGAAATTAAAGGTGTGAGTTTGATTTTTTTTTTTTTTTTTTTTTTTAAATAGCTCTGGGGGACAGACCTTGAACTTGCTAGGTAGTTCAGGGAGACCTACAATTTGAGATTCTCCTGCCTCAGTCTCTATAGTAGCTGGGACTACAGACCTGGCTGAATAATTCTTAAGATTAAAAAAAAAATTATTTATGTCTGGGTATGGTGGTGGCAAGCCTTTAATACCAGCACTTGGAGGCAGAGTCAGGCAGATCTCTGTGAGTTCAAAGCCAGCCTGGTCTACATATTGAGTTCAGGCCAGCTGGGGCTACAGGAGACCCTGTCTCAAAAAGACAAAAAAACAAACAAACAAACAAACAAAAAACAAACAAAAACCCAGAATTGATTAGGAGGTAGAGAATTCTCATATACCCTGTGCCCTCCACACAGCCTCCCCTGCTGCCAACCACCATGAACCCCCAGCTGTGCATTTGTTATCCTCTGTGGGCCTCCACTAACACCTCCCTGTTACCATGGCATCTATCAGGTTGATGTTTGACCAAACCACATTTTTAGAATTTGAAAACTCTTCCTTTGCTTGAATACATTGACTGGACTGTTCTATGTAACCTTTTTCTTGATTATAAATGAAATTTGTGACAAAATAATGAAGCAAATTAAGGCTTAAAAGATAAGCAGAAGCCTGGCATGGTGGCGCACACCTTTAATCCCAGCACTCAGGAGGCAGAGGCAGGTGGATCTCTGTGAGTTCAAGGCCAGCCTGGTCTCCATAGAGAATCCAGGCCAGCTTCAGCTACAGGGAGACCCTGCCTCAAAAAGACAAAAAAAAAAAAAGGTAAGTAGGAGCTAGAAGGATGGTTCAGTGATCAAAAGCACTGGTTTTTCTTGTATAGGACCCAGGTTCAGTTCTCAGCATCCACATGGGGGCTAAAGTGGGGCCTCACTAATGCCACACAAGCCCCTAAATAAAGTTTTGGTTTTAAAAAATGAAACCACCTTACTTAGTCATACACTCCTATAGTCCCAGTGCTCAGGAGCTTGGGGCAGGATTTTTTTTTTTTTTTTTTTTTGAGACAGGGTCTCACTATGTAGTTCTGGTTGACCTGGAATCCACTATGCAGATCAGGCTGACCTGGAATTCACAGATTCACCTCCCTCTGCCTCTGGCTCCCAAGTGCTGGGACTAAAGGCCTGTGCCACCGCATCTGAAACAGGATTCTTATAAGGCCTGCCTGGGGTACATAGTGAATAACAGGCCAGCTTGAGCTATGTAGCAAAGCATTGTCTCCAAAAATCCCAAACAGAAGTAGAGAGGGTAGCTGGTATATCTGTCTGGCTGGGTAGAGGCTGAGGCAGAATGATCACTTGAGGCCACAGTTGAAAATAAGTCTGGGCATTATAGGGAGACCCTATCTCAAAAGGGGGAAGGAAAAGCCTAGTGTGATATGTGACTTCTACCTAATGAGCTTTAACCATTTAACATATGGTCATTTAAATGTCTCCACTTCATATAAAATGTATATACATCTACACACACACACACACACACACACACACACACACACACACACA